GGTTGGGATTCTCTTCTCTCTCCCTCTCTCTCTGCCCCTCCCTTGCTCATGCTCTCGCTCTTTCTCAAAATAAAAAGTTTATTTAAAAAAATCATATGCTAAAAAAAAAAAAATCATATGCTATCACCTATAGCATAAAATCTATTCTGATCACCCATCAATTCCACCTGCTTTAAGCATTGTACTCCTTCACTATTCCCCCACTGAATCCTGTCATTTCAATAAGTCAGCGCTGCTCCCCTGAATATCTCCTACACTTTTCTGCATCTGCCCTTGGCTTCATGCTATCCTGCCTAAACTTTATCACTCTGGAGTCTCTTTCCCTCAGTCTCTCCAGGTCCTCCTAGTTATTTGAGTACAACCTTTGGGGACTTTAAAGGAGAGAAGCTTGGCACATATCCAGGAGGTGCTGCTCAAAAGGGCAGTTTTATATCAGGAGAGGAGCCAATTGGAAGAAGGGCATTACCAAGAGGACACTCCAAAATCGATATTGGAGGAAGGAGGCAATTTGCAACCTGCAAGTAAGGGGGAGGATCAGGAGCTCTGAGATTTGATCAAATGAGCTGCCAAGTCAGACAATCTGAGCACTGAGAAAGAAAGCTAATGTGAGAGTTGAATTGGAGGGTGTAAGAGGCATGAGGTGTCCATGTGCCAGAGGCCAGTTCAAGAATGTCATTGTGATGTATCCTCTACAGCTGTTCTCTCTTGTGGTTTGGCATGTTTTGTAGAGTTGGGAGATATCCTTAACTTAACGCTACTCTACCGGACACCCCATCCTTCTTGGCCCTGTTCAGTCTCTGCCAGGCCTCTATGAAACTTCCTTAGGTCACCCCAATACTGCATGTGTCACCTTCCTCTGACACCACAGTCTTTGTTAGCTTTATCCCTCATTTGGCAATGAATCACGTGATTGCCTCATGACATCTTTCGTATTGTGGATTTTGTTGTTGGGAGGGTTTTGTTTGTTTGTTTTTACTTAAGACACATTTTTGTTTAACTTTCTTTGGTTAAATATTATAGGTTTACAAATAGGTTAATATAATATTATTATACCATAAATTAAAACTTCCTTCCATATGGAAATATGGATGTTTAATTATTTTATATCTCTTTCTTTAAAATACCACACACACACTGTGTGATCTATATTTTATTTATTTTTTTCTATTCTATTTTTTAGTTTTAGTTTTCATTTTTTTTAAGTTTACTTATTTTGAGAGATACAGAGATGGCATGAGTAGGGGAGGGGCAGGGAGAGAGAGAGAGAGAGAGAGAGAGAGAGAGAGAGAGAATCCCAAGTGGGCTCCATACTATCAGCTCAGAGCCCATTGTGGGGCTCAAACTCATGAGACCACGAGATCATGACCTGAGCCGAAACTGAGAGTCAATGCTTAACTGACTGAGCCACCCAGGTACCCCAGTTTTATATTGCTTTCTTAATCAAACATAGAAATATACTCTTTCAAGGCACCCAAACAAATACTTAACACACGACCAGGAATATAATATATTAACTTAATCTTTTTTTTTAATTTTTTGTTCTTATTTCATTTCTTTATTTTTGAGAGGCAGAGAGAGACAAAGCATGAGTGGGGGAGGGGCAGAGACAGAGGGAGACACAGAATCTGAAGCAGGCTCCAGGCTCTGAGCTGTCAGCACAGAGCCCGACGTGGGGCTCGAGCCCACTAACTGTGAGATCATGACCTGAGCCGAAGTTGGACGCTTAACCGACTGAGCCACCCAGGTGCCCCAATCTTCTTTTTAACTAGGCCTAAAATGCAAGCTAGTATCAGGCCTCTCACTGAAACCATCTCTAAAACTGTCAAAATTTACCCCAAAGTTCACGTTTAGAAATAATTGTTGATTAAACCGATAAAGAATGTAGATACAGTTCAGACTTACAATCAAAAAAGCAACACATTTCAGCTAGAATTCTTTGGTGGCAAGCAACAAAATCAACTCTGACTAACTTAAGGAGAAAACAGTGTATTATGAGGATAGTTATAGTCCAAAATTCATGGAAAGGCTGAAGAAGACGCCTCGGAAACAGAGATAAGAACAATGAACAAGGCTCTGAAGATCCAGGGCAGCAGACCCATCAGAGTGCCACTACCAAAATAAACAGGTTCTGATCACTTTTTCTATCCTTGTGTTCACCCTGCTTAAGGTTCTAAGCCTTGGGAGACAAAAAATCCAGCTGGCCCAACCCGAGTCATTTGCTCTTCCTCTTGACCAGCAGATAGTAAAATTCCTTGACTGCACAAAATGAGGAGAGGTGATTTGCCCAGAGTAAATCCTGGCATTCTTGCCAAAAAAAAGAATAATGGAAAGTAGGCTTCCAAATAAAGAATAACTAGAAAAACTTGTCTACGCTATAGTTCAATGAATGTAATGGTGAGGTTTCATACATCAAGTTTCATTACAGTGAATGAGTTCTAAAGTCAGTTTAGACATGAAGCAGGTAGAAAGAGCCTGGGGCAAAGGAGCTATTTAAATTGTAATATTATACCGGGGCACCTGGGTGGCTCATTTGGTTGAGTGCCTATCTCTTGATTTCAGCTCAGGTCATGATCTCACGGCTCGTGGGATTGAGCCCTGCGTGGGGCTCAGGGCTGACCTTGCAGAGCCAGCTTGGGATTCTCTTTCTCTCCCTCTCCCTCTCTCCTCTCCTCTGCCCCTCTACTCTCTCAGTCTCTGTTTCTCTCTCAAAATAAATACATAAACAATGAAAAAATCCCCAATACTTTAAATTGGAGTACTATACTGAGGTTTTAACCTTGAGGCAGACTTGGCCCCAGAGTATGAACATGAGCTTTTGGGCAGGAAGCACAATCAGGTCAATCTTCAATGCAGAGAGTGAGCAGATCGCCAGGTGTAGATGCTTTCAGGATCCAGATAGATCCACCATCAACTCACATACTCCTTTTAGGTCATGTTGGTAATAATTTTAACTAGTTCACATTGAATGGGAGTTTTGTGTGTGAACGTTAATTGCTTCACAGTGCGGGGAAAGGGAAAATTAACTAAATATAACAATGCTGTACCTGTCATGGATCCCTACTTCCTCACTAGCATCTAGATTATACAGAATTGTATTTAAGAACACAGGCGGTAGGTGAGATAAGCTGTGTTGTTATTAATCAGGCATCTCCAAACAAACACAAGGTCTTAGAAATGCTTTTTTATTCAGTATCTGGATGTACTTATAAATCTACAAAACATTTACCAACTAATTTTACTTTGGAAAAGCACCTTAAGCCTGAGAATAAACGACAAATTGACCGTATACAGCTTTTGAAAAGAATATTTACCAACATTATGTGTTTCTCATGTTTGTGTTACTTTTAACTGCTTATATTATCTTAAACAACAGTAAGTACACAGCTCACTCTGTAAGAAGATACAAATTATTCTGCTCTCAGCAGGATGCCTCTCATGTCTTAGGAACAGAAGAAAATTATTGAGAAAATAAGATTCCTTTTAGTGAAGAGAATTGGTCTCAGTATAAACATGGTCTAAAGAATAATTCTCGTTGCACATGCTGTTCAGAGCTGAGCGAGATATTGTATTCTACTAGTGAATACAGTACACCTAGGCAGAAAAAGAGGATGACTGGAACATTAAGAGGAGACCAGAAAACTCAGCATTTTATTTTCTTAGTACATTGAACCGAATCAAGCATCAGTAAGTAGTTGCTCAGTGTTTTTTAGAAGCACAGAAACAAGACAATGAATCAGGGTCATTTCCATCTCAAAGATGGTACTTCAGTGAGAGAAAGGCATCACTAAACTGATGCAAAATCTTTGAATCCATTATTAAAAATTTAAAGCTCAGTTTCTAAAAATGATATTTATACTTCCTAACGTCTTGCTAGGGAATGATTTAGTATGTGTGAAATTATCTTACTTGTGGATCAAAGGGCTACACACTAAGAAGGAAGTTTTCATTTTTATGGAGCTCTGAGGATTAGGTACAGAGAGGGATTCATATCTGCCCTTTCCTTTCTACCAACTAGCCATGGAATAGAAGAAAATGTAAGAGATGTGGTCTAGTGCAAAATGAAGCTTGTCTTCTGTACAACTGTACAACTAGAAGAGAAATAAAAACAGCGCAGTTAAGACATCTGAATGTTACACCTTCCCAACAACAGCTACGTTAAGTATTTAATCCACTGCATATGGATAATATCCAGTATCTTGTACTTAGCTCCCCTCTATAAAGACAGCATCAGAGACTCCGGACAGAAACACTGGTGAAACATTTAACATGCCTCCCTGATCACTGTCAGCGTGGACATCACTATTGGTACGCACTGAAGCTCTTTTTTTTTTTTTTTTTTTAATTTTTTTTTTCGACGTTTATTTATTTTTGGGACAGAGAGAGACAGAGCATGAACGGGGGAGGGGCAGAGAGAGAGGGAGACACAGAATCGGAAACAGGTTCCAGGCTCCGAGCCATCAGCCCAGAGCCTGACGCGGGGCTCGAACGCATGGCCCGCGAGATCGTGACCTGGCTGAAGTCGGACGCTTAACCGACTGCGCCACCCAGGCGCCCCCACTGAAGCTCTTAAACCCGATTTAAACATGGCCAGGAAGTGGTGATGTTGGACTGATGGGCGGGCACATTAAAGTGTTTTTAATTCTGTCTGCAGACATTAAACTTTATGTGGAGGCTAGCAATTTTACTGACTCTCTGTAGAGCACATTTTACTACAGGAAAATAAAGGAAGCATGTTATAAAGTAAAGAATTTCTGTGGGGTTGTCTTTTACAATAATGTTCTTTCTTTTAAGAAAAATATTCTTATGCCATTTCCCCAGGGCAATGAACTTCTCACACACACACACACACACACACACACACATATTTACTTATTTGTATACCTCTGTTTCATATTACTTTTTTGGAGTGCATAAAAATGTATGCATTGCAGGGTGGGAAAAAAAGTATAGAAGAAACTAAAACCTTGATATTGCTTCCAGAGCTCATGGGGATTACTGACCTGTGGTTCCTGACCACAGGGAGGACTTTTTGGTGGCAGTACTCTCTGACTTCTTCGTCAGACAGTAGTTAGAGTCTGTTTCTTGCAAAGATGCCAAGATTAAGCTGAGGTCATCATTTGGCCGCAGCTGCCACTAACTCTTGGTTCACTATCTGATGATGTCAAGTTTCTGATAACAGCAGGGGGAAAGAAAGATGTTTTAGATCACAATGGGGCAATTAACGAGATGAAATGGCTTTGGGTAATCTCAGTCTTAAAGTCTGCAGGGAAATAACTTAAGTATTTTCCTGCAAGAAAAGCAAAGCTAAGCTCATCTCAACTTGAAGAACTACATAGGAAAACATCAGCCACAGGGGCACCTGGGTGGCTCAGTTGGTTAAGTGTGTGACTTCAGCTCGGGTCATGATCTCTCGATTAGTGAATTCAAGTCCCATGTCAGGCTTTGTGCTGACAGCTCTGAGCCTTGAGCCTGCTTCAAATTCTGTGTTTCCTTCTGTCTCTGCCCCTCCCCTCTTCCTGCTTTCTCTCTCTCTCTCTCTCTCTCTCTCTCAGAAATAAATAAACATTAAAAAAAAAGAAAATAGCAACCACAAAAATGTGGAGATATGAGTGTACTTTAAAATTCCAGAAAGATTATAGCATCCTTTTAATTTTTTTAAATTTTTATTTATTTATATATTTTTTGCTTTTTATGCTAGGAATGCATGGTTGTTTTAACACTTTATTTTATTTTATTTATTTTTTATTTTTTAAAATTTACATCCAAATTAGTTACCATATAGTGCAACAATGATTTCAGGAGTGGATCCTTAGTGTCCCTTGCCCATTTAGCCCATCCCCCCTCCCTCAGCCCCTCCAGTAACTCTGTTTGTTCTCCATATTTAAGTCTCTTATGTTTTGTCCCCCTCCCTGTTTTTATATTATTTTTGCTTCCCTTCCCTTGTGTTCATCTGTTCTGTGTCTTAAAATCCTCATATGAGTGAAGTCATATGATATTTGTCTTTCTCTGACTGACTAATTTCACTTAGCATAATACCCTCCAGTTCCATCTACGTAGTTGCAAATGGCAAGATTTCATTCTTTTTGATTGCCGAGTAATACTCCATTGTGTGTGTATGTATGTATATATACACATTTTCTTTATCCATTCATCCATTGGGGGACATGTGGGCTCTTTCCATACTTTGGCTATTGTTGATAGTGCTGCTATAAACATGGGGGTACATGTGTCCATTTGAAACAGCACACCTGTATCCCTTGGATAAATGCCTAGTAGTGCAATTGCTGGGTCGTAGGGTAGTTCTATTTTTAGTTTTTTGAGGAACCCCCATACTGTTTTCCAGAGTGGCTGCACCAGCTTGCATTCCCATAACATGCTTTTTAAAAAGAATAAAAGTGGTAAGAAAATACAAGGATTTTAAAGAGTGAACAGTTAGTTTTTCCTAAGGATCTTCTTATCCCCTTATCCAATTTTTCAAAATAAGTAGCTGAATATAATTTAGATCTTTGTAGAGCACTGTGATCTAAGAAATATTTCACTTGTTTGTCTTTCCTTCACTAGATTCAAGTTAAAGCTCCTTGAGGTTTCAGAATAACATTTCTAACATGAAAGAGCTTTAAAAACTATGTATAAAATATTAGTGCCAAAATTAAAAGTGCAGATAAAAATCCTGTGTCTGGAATGTACCAGGTACTGAACACATGCAACAACCCCTATCCACCATTTTCCAGCACATTCTAGTGCATGTATGCTGAGCGAGGTGGGGTGGGGGTCGGGAGGTGAGAGGGGCATGAGAAAAAGCTAAACAGATAAATGAGCAAGCTAATTTCTGGTAGTGGCAAGATCTAGAATGAAAATAAGTCAGAGTGCTGTAAGAGGCAATGTTTGTCCCACGAAGACTAAATACCCTGCCTGCCCCTGTAGCACAGGACTTCCTCTGAGAACAGATGTGGGGAACACAGAGAGAGATTCCTTACAGTGGCCTCAATGTTTTGTGACCACCCTGTGTCCGCTGTGGCTGCCATCACCCAAATAGGCAGAGGCAGCATGTACAAAGTAGGTACACAGTAACAGAGGCTTCATAGCAGGTGTAGCCAAGAGGATATGAGGTATCAGTCCTGCAATAGAGCCCTGAAGCCAACTTACTTTTGGCTGTGTCTGGATAAAAATCTAAAGATGTCTTGTGTTTTCTTTGAGCCAACTTGGATGGTTTATGCAAAAGCTAGGATAAATGTTTAATCTCTAAGCACAAAATTGTTTTAAATGTAGAATTTAAGAAACATAACAAGCAAGCATAGGGACAAAGAGAGAGAGGAGCAAACCAAGAAACAGACTCTTAACTCTAGAGAATACACTGATGGTTACCGGAGGGGAGGTGGGTGGGGGGATGAGCTAAATAAGTCAAGGGTATTAAGGAGTACACTTGTTGTGATGAGCACCAGGTATTATATGGAAGTGTTAAATCACTATATTGTACACCAGAAACTAATATTACACTGTATGTTAACTAACTGGAATTTAAATAAAAACCTAAATATGTATATTTATATGTATATACACATACACATATATATTCTTAAAGATCTATAAAAAGTCTAACTTTTTTCTTGTAATAAGGAATTCTTGAGACAGTTTTCTTTTCCTCCCAAAAACAAGGAGATGCTCTGTTTCAGCAAAGATAGAGAAGCCCTTTGAGATGGACAAACTTGGCCACATGGTCTTCCCTTTTCCCTAGATCTCACCTGCCAGAGCTCGATCTGAGCCGTGTGATAGGCTTTCAATAACGACAGTGAGTGTCCAGGCAGCCTGAAGTTAACCAGGCATTCCAGTCTATTGGCCGTGGGCCTAGAGGTTTTCACACTCCCCAGAGAGGAAAGGATTGTCCAACTACTTTCTAATTTAGCAATGAATGTGCTAAGTTTCATAGTCAGTACTTAGGTAGTGATTTGCATGCATTTTTAGTTTGACTTACATAATCTTGTTTAAAATGCTTTCTAAACTTGAATTTGAAGCCAATTTTCACTGAATTTTTTTTCTTCTCTTCTGTTCAAAAGATACATATTTAGACGATCTTTGATTTTAAGCTGCAACCGTTTGGTCAGACTATTAACAGACACTGCAGTGCTTTCAACCACAGCCTGTTAGGATTCTACCTCAGTGAAAATGATAGGATCATGATCAAATGAAACCTGCAGCAGACCTCTCTAGAATGTGACCACTGTGTGCTTCTAGTTTCTGTAGTTGACTTTTAAAAAACCAATATCGCCTCAGAGTAAAGCTCTCTGTTTATGCAATAATGAGGTCTAGGAAAACTGAGAAGACTGAACTGCAATGCCATCAAAGTATCCTCTATAAACTCAACTTCTCGAACTTTTATAAGAGTACAAATACAGAGTTTGATGTTACAGTTTCTAACAAGGGTCTCAAATGTGAACATTCTGGAATGTTGGTTAAGAGCAAATTCTTACACCTTCACAATCAAATGTATAGATTGGAAGGTCAATGTCTTTTCATGAACAAGTCCACACCCTAAGCAAAGTTCTTATGTGAGAGGTGGACCTATGACACAGCTTCCCTCAGGTTCCCTTTAGATCCCTGTAATAGTCTCACTACAAGTTCATCTCTTTGATATTTCATTGGGAATAAATATATAATTATGTGCAGATTTCCCACTGACATCTGCAATGTCCCCAAGTATTTAAAAAACAAGGATAACATTGGAACTTTAGAAAATAACTTGTTGTTACTAACATGCTTTATAAGAACCTACCAGATTTCAATATTCTTTTCTCCTATCTCAATGAGAGATTTAATAATAGTGAAGTTATTATTAAATTCTAGATTAGAAGTTATAATTTTCTGTTTTCAATTTAGAAATAAGAGATTGTCAACAGTATGTAGACTACTTGTACATTCTAAGAAAATTAATGATAACTTCTGACTAGAATTATTATTTTCTGTTTTCAACTTAGAAATAAGAGATTGTCAACAGTGTATAGGCTACTTATAAATTCTAAGGCTATTAATGATAACTTCTAACAGTGGAGGGAATTCTGGTACTTTGTACCAAAAGAGTCTATGTACTCTTACCAAGAGTCTACCATAAGCCAAGCACTGTGAAATGAATGAGGATACAATGGTGCATAATTCCCTTTCCTTACAGAGCCTATAGCTGATCAATAATATAGACTAGACATGGTCATGGGCTATAATAATACAACATGGTAGTGGTAAGTGCTAAGAGGAAGGAACCACCGGGAAAACATAAAGAGAATGCACTTAACTAGAATCTGCATCAGAAAAGCCTCCTGAAAGAAGTGACACTTTAAGCAATGACCCAAAGAAGGAGGGAAGAGAGAGCCTGGAGGAAAGGACAAGTACTAAAGGTATAGCACTACATATTTGAAGAACTGAAATTAGGTCAGACTGGATAAAAGACAGAATGCAAAGGGAAGAGGCTGAAATGTTAAATAGTCCATAAGAGACCCTTGTGTCAAAGGTTGGGTTCTTTGGGAACTAGACTCAGAGGTCGAGGTTTTCATGCAGGAAGTTTATTGGGAGAACTTTCAATATCAACACCTATGAAGCAGTGAAGGCAGTCTACTGCTCAACTTCTGTCTCTGTGTTCAGGGAAGAAGTTGGGCTGTAATATAATCAAAACAACATCTTCAGCCAATCCCACAGGGAGTTCTGAAATTGGGATGGATCTTTAGAGTTTTCTCTGACTGGGATCAGGGGTGGAATAATTTCATACCTATGAGTGGAACTGTCACTGGAAGCAGGCTGCCCTAGGAAGGGTTTAACCTTGTACAAGTAAGCTTTCTTCAGCTGAGGGAAGTCCCAAGGAGGGACATAACTGAGAGCAGTTGGCTGTAACACTGTAATGAATGCTTGGGTCCTCAAGGAGGTCTAGAGAGTGCACCCCATTGTGAATAAAGCATGTTAAGGATGCATCACGTAAGCTGCATTAGAATGGTGATAAGCCTGTGTTCTAAGAATGGAAGAGACACAATATGCAGTAGATTTAGAAAGGTCTTTCTGTCTGCATTATGGGCAACAGATTGGAGGGAAGCATGACTATAAGCAGAGAGACCAGCTGAAAGTTGGTTGCAAAAATTCAGGTAATAGATGATGATGGTCTGAAGCAGGGTAGTAACGGTAAGAGTGGA